GCTACAAAAATAATTATCTCCGTGACAGGTACCCAAAGTTTGGCGCCTGCCTCTCTCCCGTCAAGCGCGTACTCCGCAAGCCTTTGTGACAATTGATCAAAATTACTGCAGGAATGGTTTCCGACACACTCTTCACAGACGCGCTCACTTACCTGTCTCGGGAAGTCTGTCTGCTGCTCGTGTTCGGGGCTTCCTGGCCTTCCTTTATCCACCACCGATTCTCGGGGTGAGTTTCTATACTCGCCTCCGTTGTCCGCACAAAATGTGGGCTCACCCATGGCCTTCCCTCCCTGTCYGCGACGCTTCTTTTCACGTGAGAGCAACACGCAAACCTCAGCCTCTGCCTGGTGCCACCGTTTCCAGCAGTGTCCCCTGACAAGGCTTCCAATTTACTGCTCAGCCCCCCTGAGGCTGACAGAGATGATCCTCTTATAACCCAATTTTCRCTAATAGAACCCGACGACAGGGACACCAAGGTGGATCTAGAAAATTACTCTGCCGCTTAGTACAGGTTTGAACTGCCTAAAGCCATGGCCTGCTTCTGGCCACCAGTAAACCACGGTGACTCAGTTCCTTCCTCTATAAAGCAGCTGAACTAATACCTAAATAAATTCTAACATGGAATCACAGAATGCTTAAGGTTGGAAGGGACCTCTGGAGATCATCTAGTCCAACCTCCCTGCTCATGCAGGTCACCTAGAGCACGTGGCACAGGGCGGCATCCAAGCGGTTTGGAAGATCTCCAAAGAAGGAGACTCCACAGCCTCCCTGCRAAGCATCAGGTGACATAATCTGTCAGTTCCCCTTGCATACATATGCAATAGTTTCTGCATAGGCAAAAATGTCACAACATCCAGGACTATGCTGGGCCATCTTATCTTGGCTCATATTTCCTTACTTAAACAAACAAAAAAATAAAAAAAAATGTAATCCCTTCATCTAACACTACTTACCCACCCGATCCTGCTCTGTCCCCAAAGGAGTTGTGAGAAGCTGAATAGAGCTGCAGAGCTCTTCCTGACATCCATCAGAAGCATCTTATTGAGCTTCTAAATACTTTTTGATTGAATCCATAATGTCTGCGATAACAACCAATAAAATAATCCAAGGAAATTAACAAGAAAATCATGCTGAGAATTGGTGCTGTTATAAGTCTGCAGCAAGGTAGCCTTTTTCTCTTTATAGACTCGGATAATAGTACAGCTCTCAGTTTTCAGCTAAAAAAACCTTTTCAACACTTCAAGGTGCTTTTTTTTTGGCTTTATAAAGGCAGCTGTTAGTGAGCACTGCAAGCATATAAAGAATGTGTCTTCAAATGTAGCAAAAATGAAAATGTCTCTCTGTGTATTTCTACATTTGCAAAAGAGACATAATGATGGAGGTTCAGCTACTCCGTACTGGGAGTTTGAGCCAGCCCTAGTGTTCCCTGGGGCTSACCAGCTGGCTGTGGTGAGAGCAGGTAAACGGAGCACTAGGTGCCCTGCCCCAAGTCCTGGCTCCTGCCTTTCCACTGTTGTGGCCATCACAACTATCTTATGTAGCCCTGGAGCAGTGAGAGCACTAGTAGGACAGATCAGGAAGAAAAATATAAGCAGATCTGTGGAGAGTTTGATCATACTCTCTTTGACRTAACTGGGACTTCAGGTGGTGATTTTGTTTGGAGCAGGACCAGGTTTGAAGAGAAACCAGAATTTGTAAGCTGGAAGAATGAAGAGGTTGCGCCCAATGCACTGGTTGTGAATTCCTCACAGAAAAGGATGGAAATATCTTTTAAATTGTAGTCAGAAGGCTTGGTTGTAAACAAAACCTGAATACTTTTACTCCAGGCAAGCCCAGGAACAAGAATAAGGACTATTGGTGACTGTCCTACTCTCCTCCTACAGGTAGAAGCACAAAATGAAGTTGCCATGGAATATCTTGAGGGCAAGCAAGCTGTAAACAGGTAAAGCTTCATCGATAAATAAACAMAAGACACCAAAACATGGTTGAAATTCTCATGCCAGAGGAAACCTGCCCCCGGCAAAGTGTGCAGTCCAGCAGCAAACCAACCGCAAGAGACCTTGCTRTGTGAGAAAGGCAAATGGATTCAAGTACCTCTTTAGGACTTTAGGTAAGAAGAAGGTCAGATATTGAGATGCCTGTGTGCTTGGGCTCACTCCTGTTGGAGAGCAGAAGAGAATGATTCATTGAGAACACACGAGTAATGGTGCCAAAAAGTAGCTGGGAAGGACATAAACAAGGTTGAATGGGTGGTCCTGTTTGTTGCCTTTTCATAACGTAAGAACAAAAGAATACCAAGGGATATTAAAAGGCATATATTTCAATTGACAGCCTTAATTGACTTCTTCTGCGTTACCTTGGAAGTCCAGAGGGATGAAATGTTCCCTTGAAACTTGATGGATTTTGTACTAACAGTAASAAGGGATCAGTAAAAGGATGAAATCAGTGTATGCACAGAGAGACYTTCCCAAATGCCTACGGATAGCATAAGCCAAAGTACAGGGGGATACTAAAGGCCGTGCAGCTGGAGCTGATGACCCCCTGGCTTCTCTGGGCTTCCCTCCATGGGCATCTTTGCAGCTATTTACTGCAGGGAAGGGTTTGCTGCGAAACATGCGGTTTTTCTCTCTGCAGAGATGAGGGGCTGAGATGGGCTGCTCGTATTGCACAGCTCCTGTGCTGCCGCTGATTCACTACCTGGAAAATGATACTAACAAATAAATATATAATCCATCCTTCCCTTCAGTCTCCAAGAGGCAGAAAAGTATGATAGATGCCAGAAGTATTCAGGAGTTTCCCAAGGAGGGAAAAAGAAYTGCAAGAAGCAACGGGGGTGAATGCTAGAAGGTCTAAAGAGGGGTGGAAATTTGGGGCCAGAGAGGCATTTTGAACGAACTGGCCACCGCACAGGCGGTGCCTCAGGCAGGGCGCTGCGATCCCCTTTGCAGACTAGGCACCGTGACCTCCAGCACTGTGTGCCCGCTTTGCCCGGGGCTTGCCCGGACTCCCCTCTCCGGAGCGTCGGGGCGAGGAGAAGCCCCTCACGAGGGCGGCTCGGCCGGGCGGCTGCAGCGCGGCGGCCGTTGGGCGCGGGGCGGCCGTTGGCGGCCGTTAACGGCTGCCCCGCCCGCGGCAGAGGCGGGCGCCGCAGCCGGAGCGGGAGCCGGAGCAGGGCGAAGCGCCGCGTCGCGCCCGCCGCAGCGCGATGGAGCAGCCGCGAGCCCGCGGCGCGGAGGCAGCGCCTGAGGTGAGACGAGGCGGGCGGCGAGCGGGGCGCCAGGGAGCCGAGCGGGGCAAGGGGGCGCCGGGACAACTTTGCGAGCCCCGGAGCCGCGCGCCGGGAGCGGGCGGAAACTTTGGGCGAGGCGAGTCGCGGCGCCCGGGAGCCGCGGGGGCCACTCCGCTCCGCTCCGCTCCGCTGCGGGGCCGACCACGAGCGCGACCACGAGCCTGGATCCCGAGCGCCCCGAACCGGGCTGAGGGCTCCGCGGAGGAAGAAGGTTCCTGGTTGTGGCGCCTTTGATGACCCCGATATCTTGCAGTCTTTTTTTTCTTCTTCTTCTTTTTTTTTTCCCCTCCCCTTAATAATTATTTACTTATTTTCTGAAGAGGTGAGCACTCCTCATGCAGTGTTTGTTCCGGAGTTACTTTTGCAAAAGAAAACATCATATGGCATCTCTCCTTCTCTTGCAAGAATCCATTTAAAAAATGATAAAAAAGGGGGGGGTGCAGGGTGAAAAAACAGGGAAAAATCCATCTGAGAGCATATTTTTAGTACAGCCTGCAGCACCCAAGTTATTCCAGAAGGAAAGGTATCATCTGCCTGCGCACCTCTGACTGTCAGCATGGGTCGGAAATTGCCTAAGGATGACCTTCAAGGAAGGAAAGGGAGGTTCGACAGTCTCAAAACTCTTTTATTTTGCTTAAGGCTCCCCTCAAAGAAACAAGCGGTGGGTTTGTAGGGAAATTGTGACTTGAATATTCAGCACTTCCTTTAGAGTAAAAGCTGATCTAAGTTCACAGTTCGTGTGGATACTGGAAAGGTTTCTAATCGAGCACATAGTATTGGATCTGTTAGTGCTAAAGTTAAAAAAATGAATAARGCAGAGGGAAAGGGGATAGTACTTTTTATATACCATATAAAAACAGTTCAAAAACAAGGAAATTGCCTCTGATTTTTTTTTTTTCCAGGTTAATGTTGTTTTGGTTGTTAAATCAGTGTGTCAGCTCTGTGAAAACTCCAGACTCCTGTCTTTTTACAAAACATTGACGGTGACACTAGATATTTCCAGGCAGAATGTATCTGAGGCACCACTCCACTTGTTAGATTAAAGGCGTTTGGCCTCGCGCCTCTGGTCTTGTGCCTAATAACACATCCTGGGAGCACTGCATTCACTGTCAATAAATGTCTCCCATCTCTTAGGACTTAATTACGAAATGGTTTCAAAACAGCACAAAAAATGAAGCGTCCAGCTCAGCTTTTGTAGTGATGCAGCCCTGTGTATGAGCAACTCTCACAGTGCCCCGGTGTATCAGCTGTGTCCTTATGATCTTTATGCATCTTCTGTTTTAAAGCCCTGAAACATATGGGTTCATTTTTATTTCCTTTAACAATTCTATCCTGCTAAAGCAGGCAAGAGGACAGTTGCATTTCTCCACCGAACAAGGTGCTCACGTAGGACTGTAATATCTTCCTGGCTTTCTCTTCTCTTTCTTGTTGTTTTTAATTCCGGGAGAAATTACTTTGAGTGCCTGACTAGGATTTCAGGACAGTCTACAAGATTGCTCCCAGACGATCCATCTGGCTTCTCCCGCCGAACCCAGTACTGGCAGGGAAACAGCTTTGAAGATCTAGCCAGTGTTGGATGGATTTTTATAAGCTGTGGAAATGACCTGTAAAATTCAGAACTAAATCTTCCTGTGCTACAAGACCTGTTTACTTGGAGAAGCTGGTGCTGGAAAAGCTGCTGGGAACTGACAGTGCAGTTGCCAACCTGCACTAACACCACGCGTGAGGCACTGCTGGTGCAAGGCAAGCGCATCCAGAGGGTGAGTTCTTGCGGAATAAGAATCGTCCCCTGAATTCTCAGCGTTGCTTTTTCCTCATTAACTTCTATGTAGACAAATCTCTCTTTGTTTTGAGGCTCCCGGTAGACTGGGGGAAAGGCAGCAATGGATGTGATCACTGTGTCCTCAGATTGCAAGGCAGACAGAGAGGCAGCATTTTAAGACCGAAGAGATGGTAAAATAAATGTTAAATTTTAGTGTTATTAAGAGGGAAAAGAAACAAAACAATGGAGGTAATGTAAGGCAGTAAGCAGTGTTTCCTAACGGTCTAAGTGACTGAGGAGGCTTTGTCCTGCTTTAAAAGTGACATAGACACATAAGACCAGGTTTTTAAATTTGTAATACAGAGAAGCCTTAGTAGGGGGCTCAGAAACTTTGTCATACTTATGTAGATCCAGATGATCTCTTCTTTTTTTTTTTTGGTCTCTCTATTAAAGAATGCCCCATCATCTCTGACCAGGCACCTCTTTAAATATTCCATGGGCATTGCAATGCACTGAGTAGCTTATTTGCTTAATTAAGACATCAGTTTTGAGTTATGCGACTTGCATATTTCCCTGCTGAGATTAATGTCTTCATCAGCCTGATTACTACATCTTTTATAATTAGCAGGCCTTAATGCTTTGTTTGTGTCAGTCAGGTATTTTTTAAATACCTATTAATTAAACTTGACAACTTCAACTTATTTCCTGGTGAGTTACGATTTGCATTCTTGTTCTGCATCATATCTGAATCTGTGCTCCGTTTCAGCAAGCAGCGTAACCGTACAGATAGCCAGCCTCTGCTGCCTCTCTTCATCTTGCATGATATCGTACGCTGTGAAAGACCTTTGTGCTGTTCCTCACTTTTCCTTTGCTGTTGGGACTGAGATAGCGAGCAGCGTGTTTAAGTGGGCAGAACAGAGATAAAAAATAACATTTTGAAGACTCTATTTCTGATCATCCAGGCAGACGCAGGGCAAATGCTCTGCGGCTTCTTCCCAACTTGTCAGCCGAGAATGGGCAGAAACTCCTCTTGTTACTCAGGAGGAGAGAGGCCCAGTGTCCTGCTGCCGCCTTTACAGTGTCCTTCAGCCCTGACTAAAGCAAAAACCATCTGTGATGTCTTACTAAAAGCTAATGTGCTGTAGGTTGAGTGCTTTACATTAAACCACTTTCGATGCATCCACTAACCGTAGGTGCACGTACTCTCTGAAGGAGCAATTTCTGGAGCATTATTCTTCCTATTAAATATTAAAAATCATCTGTATGGCTTTTCTGTTTTCCCTCCTGGAAAAAGCTGAGAATCGCACAACTTCTTAACATGAACTCTACTGTTCAGGTTTTGCTGAACTCTTACTGTTCAGGTTTTGCCAACAAATTTGCCATTTCATAACCTTGTGCAGGACTAAAACCTAAAACTTCAAAGCAAATCAAGTGTTTTGAGATTTTTTTTTCTGGTGACAAGAAACTAACAGAAGAGTTCATATTACTTTGATTGAGTCAAATCAGTTTAAAAAATTTCTACTCTTGAGTGGTTGATGTTCCAAATGATCTCCTCCTCTTTGTCTTTCAGGAGTGCGAGGAATTGAATTTTAAAATAGGATAATTAAAGCTGCTAACTGTAATGCCAGCTGTTGGGAATCATAAACACATAGCCACTCTTTATATAGGGTACGTACAGAAATAATGGTTCTCCTTGCTCTGCACTGTGTGGTCAACCGGCACCTCTCATTTTGTTAGCTGTCTTGGTAGCATGATGAAATTTGTTGGAAAAGAGGGAGCTAAATAAATCATGTTGGATTAATGCTCTGTCCAAATGGCAGGAGATAAATCAATATCAGACCAATGGGAAAGAATGTGAACATTTAAAAGGAAATAACTTGTACTCAAGCTTCTAAGAATATTAAAGCAACAGAGTTGAACAAAACCAGAGCATTGAAATCACATCTTCTTGGTGTCCTTTCAAAAGGTGAAACATTACCCATGCCAGTGACTGTTGAGATTACTCTGGGGTGTGCTTTTTCAAAACTTTGTATTTCTTGAAGAAACAAGCATGGTTTAGATTGAGATAGTACCCCCAAAAAAGCACTTTGTAAGGATTAATTTGTTTGGTTTTTGTTTGTTTTGATGGTTGGGTCAGATTGGATTGCCTCAGCCTTCTCTTACTGGTCCCATTAGCAGAAACAACCTGAGATGTGCTGGAATAAGGGGTCAGTTGTGACCTTGCATGGGTTGAGTGGGTGCTGCCTTGGGCCATGAGACGTTTCTCTCCCTCAGCGCGTGGGGCTCCAGAGGAACAGCCTTAGTCATGCTGGGGACGCTCTCCTCACCCCCAGCTGGGCACCAGCACCCAGCACAGCTCAGTCCCTTCCTCCCCACATGGAAAGAGGAGCTGATAAATAATGTGTTGGCTTTGCCTGATGTGCCTAGGGTTTGAGCATGCTCCTCCGGGAGCTTTCTGAGAGGAATGATGAATGTATTTATTTTCTGAGAAGAGGCAGCATGAATACATGCATTATTTTTTGCCATCTTGTGGTTTATTTTTTTTCCAAATGTTTCTAGTCAGACATATTGTTGGAACGGAGCTGAAAATGAGGTTTCTCAGATGTACAGTAGAGCAGGCATCATATGTGTTGGCTGTCAAGCAAGTTTTGCAAATGTGTCATTATTTTATGATCACATTTACCCCATTGACGGAATTACAGGGCATCTCTAATATGAAAATGTGTACAGAGAGACTGGACAGACAAAGGAAAGAGAAGCAAAAATCAGTATTAGGATAAATCATGCTCCAGAGATTTGGCACAACTTTTAGAAGAATTGGGTGCCAGACTTTGTAGCCCTGAAAATTATCCTTATGGTAAATTCCGGTGTAACTCTTTTATGACACTTTGGGAGTTGATTCAGAAGGAGTAGAAGTGGATCCTGAACTGGAAGTTCATTTCTATCTACCATTTTTTTTTTCTCAGATTAGGATGGAACTTAAGCTGCAAGTTATAAACCTTAGTCACATCAAACCAACTGTAAATGTAGGAAAATACTTTTTGGTTCCTAGCTTGGCCAGGACGGGTATCTCTTACCATACATCTGCATCCTGTGGCAGCTGTTTGAACTGGGGACAATTTGCAGCATCTCCGTCTCCTTCTCTGCCCTCCTCCTCCCCGGGTGTCTGCCCTGGCCACGTGGCTCCCCATCCCGTGGTGCTCCAGCCCGCTCTGTGCTCCGAGACTGCCGCAGCTTCGCAGACCCCGGCCAAACACACATCGGGGTCGATGTGCTTTGCACCCAGCCAGCCGGCCTCCTACCAGCCGCTTCCCGCGACGGAGGGTGAGCCGTGCTTGGGGTCCTCTTGGCTTCGGAGGGAGACCTGAGCGTGGCTGCCAGCAGCAGCTGGGGAGGGTGCCGCGCGCCCCGTCCCGCCGCTCCTCGCGCCCCCAGCTGTGTGTCCCGGCCCCTCCAGCTCGCCTTCGTGCAGGTAGGTGAACTCGAGGGGTGCTCTGCCTGTTGCTCCCCACTGAATGTCCCCACTGCCTGTCTCTCAGCCCCACGTGTTAGGCTTACTTAGGGGGCAGCTGCCCTATTGTGCTAGGCTGGCACACAGGGTTGGGGTGTATGTGTGTGCTGAGGCCCTCCATGTGAACCTTCCCACATTGAAATGTTACCTACACTGCCATGAATTGATTCCAACTGGTTCAAGTGGGTTTGGGGTTACTGAGCTGTCGTTGGCCTGAGCTGCAACAATTCAGTCACAGCTGAACTCGGATTTTTTTTACAGCTCAAGTGACGCTAACTGCAAAAATACCTGATGTTTTGGTTTTACTGGATGAGTCTTAATATCAGAACATCATATTCAACACAAACAGCGATATTCTGTGTGGCTGCGTATGTGCCTTTGAACATACAAAGGGCAGAAATTAATAAAGGGAGGATGCATGATGCTCGTTCATGAGTTGCCTGTATGAGTGGTATGAAGAGACATCAGCCAGAAGTCTGGCGCACTCTCAGAAACCAATTACCAGGATGATCCATAATTATTATTTTTTTCCACTCTGAGGAAAAATGCCCGTTTATTTATATTTCCAAAAAGAGGGCCATCGTGTTTTGGAAATGAGATCGAAACAATTACGAGGGAAGATGCATCGTAAACACTACAAATCAGTGAAAAGGTCAAAATAAGTGATAGGATAAAAGCCTGGGCCAGAGAAACGTGAGGGTTGTTGAACTTGGAGTGAAGTTCAAGAATCTTAGGTACTCCAGGCTGAGCAGATTGTGATGGGCAGGAGGAGAAGCATTCGTTTCCCTTCAGAAAAACAGAGCATTTTATTCATTTAGTAAAGCCAAGAAGCCAGAGCCTCCATAATAGAAACTTATTTAGCAAAACTCTGAGTGAAACTCAAGGCTCTTTAGAGCTTTTCAGATATTATTCCAAGGCTGAAGTCTGTGTAGGTTAGGATCCTACTTTATTCTGACCTGCTAGAATGAGATTTTTACTTGGCTCTGAAGAATGTCATCTTTTTCTCTGCAGACTGCCTTTGATAATGCTGTTGAATTAAGGAGGAAATATATCAAAAAGCAAATATTTCCCAGGACATAGAGCACAGTCTCAGAAGTTTTAGTTTCTAATTCAGACATCTGTAGTGATTCCTTTTGGAGTTCACTGTAACTAATAAAGATTATGATACACCATCAGGATTGATACAGTCTTTCCTCATTTTGTGCTTCCTTTTCCTCTTTTATTTTTCTTCCAATAGTGAATATGCCATTATATTCTGATGGAGGAGACCTGCTGTCCCTCCCCACAGATAGGCTAATACCACTTTGTTACCATTACTGAGTCCAGTTTGCCTTTTGAGCCTGCACGACATTGTTTAGCTGAACTATTCAATGGGCCACGGTAACGTACATGACCTAGTTCAAAGCTTACTGTACTGCTCAGAGTAGTGGCTGAGCTTACCTGGCTGCTGTTGGCAGACCTAAAAATCAGTGAAAATGCCAGAGCTT